ATCTCTTTTTTATTACCTTACTTTACTTTTCCTTAGACTGTTCCTTTTTTTGGAAACTGAGGATTGAATCAAGGGCCTCATGCATGTTAAGCAAGTGCTCTGTCACTGAGCTACATCCCCAACCCTAAGCATCCATTTTCTGTCTCCTATCATGTAACCATCAGATCCATGAGAGCAATGCAGATGTGTCATCCTGTGCTCACCAGAGAAATAGATTTAATAATAATAATAATAATTATTAAAATTATTTTTTTTAATTTTTTTTAATTTAAGGAGAAAAAAAAACAAAAAAAACAGTGAAAGGGTACAAGTTATACAGATTTACAGAAGAAAAAAATGAACAGTAGGAAATCATTAGTTAATGGATTACATATTGCCATCTTAGAAATAATTGTTCAAGTCACAAAATTAAAGCTTGTAGAGTGGACATTCCAACAATGATACTGCAAACAGTTCTGTTCAATGATCCAATAAAACTTTGTGATATCATTTTCTAAATTATTATTATTATTATTATGGATTTACAAGGTGGGCTTACAATAGCCATTCTGCAGAAACATGCGAAAGAATATAAAAGAGGTGTCTGCATATTGGAGATCCAAAGGATCCAGTCAAAACTTGAAGACCTGGAGCTCACTGTAGTGTCCTGTCAAATCCATTTCAGGAAGCCGAAGGATCTGTGATGGAGCACCCAAAGTCTGTGCATGCTAGACAAACACTATACCACCGAACTATAACCCCAACTCCTTTTAGGATTTCTCTATTTCCCTGCCCCCCGAATAAGAAGTGAAGATTTTGAAAACATTAAGCACATGTTTTTTGGGTTTTGTTGTTTCTATTTGTTTGTTTGTTTGTTTAGACAGGATCTCATTGTGCAGTTCAAGCTGGCCTCATGCTCACTTTGTAGTCCAGGCTAGTCTTGAACTCACAACAATCCTCCTATCTCAGCCTCCTGAGTGCTGGGATTATAGGTATGTGTCACCATGCCCAGCCTACATCATTATTTTATAAATTACTCCTAATTAAAATCACTCCTAATTAAAGAATGACCCAGTGCTTCTCAGTAAGTGCTATAGTTTGAATCTTGAAAATTCCCCCAAAACCCATGTGTTAAGTCTTGTTTCCCAAGGTGGCACTACTGGGGGGAGGTTGGAACTTATGAGCGGTGGGGCCTGGCAGCAGGTCCTTATGTCACTAGGGTGTCCCTTCAAAGAGGATTGTGAGGTTAGGTTCTCTCATTCTTTGCTTCCTGGCCATGAGACGTGAAGTTTTCTGCCATATGCTTTCCACTACTACCACTGAACACCCCCACCAGAAGCCTAAAAGCAAGGGTCCACCTGATCATAGGCTGTGAGCAAAAATAAATATTTTCTCTTTATAAGTTGATTACCTCAAGTATCTTGCCATAGTAATGGAAAGTTTACTAGCACAAGAACTTAGAATTTTTCAAAACAGCCTCATCTTCCTTGCCACACCACCAGGTGCAGTGGTGCATGCCTGTCATCCCAGTACTCTGAAAGCTGAAGCAGGAGGATCACTATGAGTTCATGGCCAGTCTAAACTGCATACTGAAATCCTGTCTCAAAAATGTTGCAATGCAGCATTTCTTTTTTCTTTTTCTTTTACAAAATGAACAAGTTCATGGAGCTGAGACATGGAAAGGAGCAAACAATCCATGGTGGTTGGGCTGTGTCCTTCAACCAGATACAGCGAGGCAGAGGGTTATATGACCCCTGATGGGAAGTGGCACATGCAGCAGATATTGATGACGTGTGAAGAACCAATTGGCACTCTCTGTGCATGAAAACAGGAAAGGAAGTTGCAATTAAGGCTGAAGAAGGAGAAAGTGGTAACTGCATTCCCACTTTGGCCTTCCGCCACATTAGACCACCACCATAATTGTACAGTAATTTATACTAGGACAAGAATCTTTCATTCCCATCTTTATGGTTAGGAAAAGGGCAAAGACCATCCCTTACAACTTCCTGCTGGATAGAGGCATCGTGTTGGGGTCTAGAGGGTTGATGGGATGACAGTTGATGTCCACGTAGAAGATGGTACCAGGTGTTCAGGATAAGGAATTAATCACTGATGAATGCACGTATCCTGAGTCCTCCATTGAGACTTGAGGCTTGAGGCTCTGAGAAGGATACCATAATGGAGGTTGTGGGCCCCAAACCCCAACAATCTTCAGCAGCAAGTCCAAGTAGATCAGCCAGTGATGAATCCAAAGGTGATGAGATCTCCTGTGAGGGCAAGGAGTTAGAGGATGGCTTACCCACTCTCTGTGGCTAGGACAGTCAATCTTCCAGTGGCCCTTGGAATTGCAGAAGGGGCATTCTCTTGCCCAGCATCTTTTTTGTCACATTTGAGGCATGGTCCATGAGGGGCTCAGCAGCTCCACCTTGTCTCAGTTTTCCTGTCTTAGAGCTTCAAGTGTCACTGCTATGATGAATGAGGAGGGTCAGTGTTACATGCAGGTTAGCAGCGTCAAATAAACAAGTCCCGGAGGAAGGAAAGGTGGTTCATAGGCAGGGGAGCTCAGACTGGGAGTGACTCCCCGGGGCCAGCCTCTGCCATCCGAGTCTCAAGGCACCATGATGTTAGAGAATTCTGGCACAATAAAGAAGCAAAAAGTACAAAATGCACAGGTTTACTGAGTTGAGGATGCAGAAAGGAGTATACAACCCATGGTGGTTGGACTGTCTCCTTCCGATGCAGCATTTCTTAAAAGAGGTTCCCTACTATTTCTTGGATTCTCTACCAAATTACTGACACCATCCTATAAGTCATTCTGTACAGCAATTACACTCAACATGTGTGGCACCAATAATGCATTTAACTCAGTTGAACTGATGACAAGCAAAAATGTCATGTTCAAACCCCTATTTTCATCCTATTATATCCATTTCATAACTGCCACCTGGCTGACCATGATTTCACACCCTAATTTCAGAGACATTTACTTGTGGAAAAAAAATGAATCCTAGAAGTCATGTAATTCTAACATATTCAGAAGACAAGCATTTATTCATGAGCTTAAACTCTGAAATTTTATTAACTGTAAGGACGAAGAGCTATAGCTTGCACAGATGTTTGCAATAAATCATCTTTGTTGCTGTAAACTTTGTAGAAAGTTGCTAAAAGTATTACTACAGTGATTACTAAAATGAAAAGCACTTTCAAAACCACCATGCCACACATATGCAGAAAATTTTTCTCAGAATCCAAAACTTGTAAGGGGAGAAGGGACTTATAATGAGACTTTATTCCAACTATTCTACATTATGCCTGACATATGAAGGTCAATCAGTCTATTGAAACACAACAAGAAACAACAGACTCCATTAGTGATGGTAATAAACTCACTACTTTCAAATAGAGTTCAGTTCATCTTTAGGAAAGTCTCTTTAAAATTATTCCACATATCAAAAACAAACTTTTTGTTTGTTTTGTAGCACTAGGAATTGAACTAGGGCCTCACATATGATAAACAAGAACTCTACCACTGAGGTACCTCCTAGTCCTTATGAGAAATCTTCAAAGGCTATTGGAAGGCTGAGGCATGCAATTTACAAGTTTGAAGCTAATCTAGGAAACTTATAGAAAGACTTTATATTAAAATAAAAATAAAAATTGGATACATCTTAGCACCAGAGTGCTTGCCTAGCATGGGTGAAGCCCTAGGTTCAACCCTCTATGAAACATGAAGATAATCTCCCTGTGCCATCCACCTCTTGGGCTCAGTATTGTCCTTTAGGATGATCTTCCCAAGTACCATCATTCTCCATGACCCCTCTGTGTCTGCTCTTTTCTAAGGACTCCCAGTTTCCACGGAACTGGGATGAGCTCAGTGGCTCAGTCTTCCGGTCTTCCTTGGAATCACTTGTGCAGCTGCAGTCACCTGGCAGCCTCACTCACACATCAGGTGGCTGTCTCCTTATCAGTTTGACCTCCCTCTTTACCTAATCTTTTGCCCTCAGGAAGTTTAGACTTCCTTACCAATAGAAAGAGCAGAATATGCAAGGAGGACTTCTAAACCCAGACGAAGACCTCCCAAAGAGAGAGCACTGCTAAAACCACAAACAGGCCAGCTCAGGCTAAAGGGAGTAGGGAAATAGACTCCACCTCTAGGGAGAGTGAAGAAGTCAGAACACAAAGGGCCATGCACGTTGGGATGGGAGACATTTGTGGTACTGAAGCCAGGGAGCACCGAGCTATGTCCCCAGCCCTTTTTTAAATTTTATTTTGAGACATGGTCTAAATTGCCCAGGCTGGCTCAAACTTTAATACCCTTACCTCAGACTCCCAAGTAGCTGAGATTACAGATACGTGTACTCATGCTTAACATAACCATTTGTTTGGTAACTACCACATAAAGTAATAATCCTAAAAAATAATAATAATAATCCTGCTTGGTGTGGTAACACATGGATGAAATTCCAGCACCTGGGAGGCTGAGGCAGAAGGATCACCACAAATTCAATGCCAATCTGGACTACATAGTGAGACTGTGTCTCATAATCATCATCATTGTCATCATCTCCATTTTCCCCTAGTGGAATATGGTCTTTGACCCCTTTCTGTCTGCTCTTTGCTTTTTCAACATACCCCAGTTGTTCCTCCTAAACTGAAAGGCAACCAGAAATAAACAGAAAGTATCCCATAAACATGATTTCTCTTTTCAAAGCCATACATACTACAGTTTTTATATGTGTGTGTGCTAAGAATTGAACTCAGGATCTTGCACTTGCCAGGGAGGCACTTGCACCACTGAGCTATATCCCCAGTCCAGTTTCTTAATTTAGAGTTAGATGAATCCAGTGTCAGGTACCTGTAGTCCCAGCTATTCACACAGCTGAGGCAGGAGTATTGCTTGAACCAGAAGTTCAAGGCCAACCTGGGCAATAATTAGGCCCTACCTCAAAAAAGAGTAAAATAAATTGAATTCTCTTATTAATGTGTAAAATACATATATACTGCTACAGTTAAGGAATACCTGGCCCATTCTAACTCCTCCTTGTCAGCCTATGGCTTGCCAGGTTTTGCTTGTGGACCACAGCACCGTCGAAACTTGTCCCAGATGAATGAACAAGGCCTCTTGTGGGCTCATGCTACAGGAACTTCTGGACACTTTCATGAAGGTGGTCAGAGCTGCCCTGTACTCTGACTGTACCTGCCAGCTCTGGTATCTGGGGCCTGTCTGTTCCTATCCTCTTATCTTTTCTGCAGGCTTCCTCTAGAGCTCTGGGCTCTGTAAACTATTCTGAGTGCCTTCTATGAATGGGTTAAGAGCAGGGACCTAGGGTGTCAGGAGTGACCACAGAGTTCTGGACTCCTTTGCTGGACAGATGATTTTCTGGTGACATCAGGCTGGAGCTGGCAGAACATGTTCAGACTCAGACAAGTAAGATCTCTTACTGCAGCATTTCTGTCCTTGTGTTTGTGACAGGGAAGGCCAGCTCAGTGAACTTTGGCCCATAAGCTAACTGCTGTGACCAGCAATCTATGTGATCACTGGGGCAGCAGACTCCCTGCCCAGTTGCAAACATGTTTTTCCAACTTACCTCTGAGGTGAAAGCTGCTATGAGCTTCATTTCTGGAAGCCAAGCTTCTGAACAGAAACCTCTCCGTGGATTAGGGCTGGAGGGGCTCCTGCTTGTGTATAGGGGGAACAGCCTCATGTCCTGGATGAGCAGGGGAATCTTGTGATGGTGATCTGATTGGATTTGTTGAGTGTACTGCTATCCTCGGTGAAACACCTAGCTGGCACCAGCTCTGCTGTCACCTCTCCTCTGCTCTGCTCTGAAAAGAAAAAAAAAAGGAATTCCTCCGTATACGTCTATTAAAGCTAATAATTTTGTACTTAATGATAATGGTAGCAATAATAAATTCATTCACGGAGAATGTGTTTGTATATTTAACATCATGCCTGGCATTTTACTTGTGTTATTTCACATCTTCAACAACCAAAGAAGTAGATATTATCGTAATGTCACATTAGATATGCATATGGTTGGCACACTGAACAGGTGGGACTCAGAAGTTATCACTGGAAAAACAACTGTCTTTTCTCCACTTTCCGCTCAAACTTTTTCTGCAGGGATAAAACCTAAAATAAGTCCGTATAACTTACCTGGTCAATTTTTGGCCTGGTTACTTTTTTCTTATTGCTGAGACAAGATAATTGGTGCCCAAAATTAAGGAATGAAAGGTTTATTTATCTCATAGTTTGTGGAGGTTTCAGTCCATAGTTGCTTGGCTCCAAAGCAGAGTGGAATGTGGCAGAGGAGCAACCGTCTGTGGTGGCAAAAGAATAAAAAACCACAAAACAACAAGAGCAAAAAGAGGGGAGTGCATTGAGCAAGTATCTCTCCTTTCCCTATATTGGTATGCAAGCTACCCATCCCGAGATGGGTATAGCACACCCATAATCCCAGCATTGGCCAGTGAGTCAATCACAAACTCTAGAAACCCACTTCCATGACTGCATCAGGCTTTGGGGGTACATCCAGACACAAACCATAACTGTCTTAGATAATAAAAAGTATGAATTTTCAGTTTCTGAAATAGTCACTTGCAGAAATTACAAATATCCATCTCTGTAATAAATTAACTTCCAACCTCACGTTCAATAATCACAGTGTAGGGTCAGGTGTGGTGGTGCATGCCTGTCATCCCAGCACTTGGGAGATGGAGGCAGGACCATTGTGAGTTCAAAGCCAGCCTGGGCTACAAAGTGAGTGCAAGGCCACCTTAAACTACATAGCAAGACTCTGTCTCAAAAAGATCAAGAAAGAAAATCATAGCACTGATTGGCTCAGAAAAGATTCATCAGTGGATACTAAAACTAGTCAGTGAAAGTTTAGTAAGGAGCAGCAGATCTGCACTGTTTCATAATATCTGTCTGCAAGATGTGAATTAAGTATGAATGGAAAAATTGTAACTTTCTAGTGGAGAGACCTAGCAAATACCACCTTATCCAAATGATCAAAGTTAATGTGAAGAATCATGGCATAAAATGACACCAGGCATCTCCTGATATGCTGCCTTAAGAGGAACACAGCATCAGATTTAAAATGTTCATGATAAAAATCCAAAATTTGAGCCAGCCATGGTTGCACACACCTGTAATCCCAGGCATCTGAGCAGCTGAGGGAGGAAAATCACAAATCCAAGCCTTGCCTGGGTAACTTTATGACCTAGTAAGTCTCTGTCTCAATGATAAAGAAAACATGTAGTTCAGTAAGAAGGTCCTGCGTTCAATTCCTATACTACCACCACTAAAACAAAGTCCAAAACTTGAATCCAATCCTGAGGAAGTTTCAATAATTTCTAGTGGGGCTGCGGATTTAGCTCAGCGGCATAAGCGCCTGCCTTGCAAACAGGGAATCGTGAGTTTGATCCCCGGTACCGATAAAAAGGAAAAAAGACCAAAAAAAAAAAAAAAAAAAAAAGTGAAGGAGAAGCTGATTATACATACCAACACAAAGTAAATCCTTAGAAGAAGCTCAAAATGAATACAAAAGGGTCCTGAGCTTCCTGGAAGTGAAGATGGAAAAAAAATCACTGCAAATTAAGAGCTCTCATGGCATCTTATCAAGTCATAAGGAATATGTCCCTTGGTGAGGAATGTAGCTCGGTAGCTTAGCATGTACAAGCCCCTGGGTTCATTATCCAGTGGGCTGTGAGGGAGCTTATCAACTGCTATATAGAAAACCACCGCAAACCTTAGTGATTTCTGTGTGCCGAATATCATTATAAGCACTTTATATGTACTAATAAGTCTTCACAGTAATCTTAAGGTTCATATACCATCGTATTCCCATTTTATCCATGAGAAAACTCAGAGATCAAACAAGTAACTTGCCCAAAGTCTTGTAGGCAACCAGTAGTAGAGACAGGATTTGAACAGTTCCAAGGGTCTGTGCTCTTAATTTTTCTTGAAAGAAGATGGAGGCAGAATTTGAATGTATTTGTCATAAAGTTATATAAATACTTATTTTCCTTAGAATTCTAAAATTCTGTATTGTATACCAGTGGATGAACCCTAAATTTCATAGGCTAAGTTAACTGAGAAAAGCATCAGACAATACCAAGGACAAGGCTTAGCAGGCTTGCCATGAAAACATTTCTTTAATGCATGAAAACCAGAAAATGGGGGCCAGATATTTAGCTCAGGGACATAAGCACCTGCCTGGCAGGAGTGAGGTTATGAGTTAAATCCTCAGTACCAAAAAAAAAAACCCAAAAAAAATTCACATAATTTTGTTTTCCAAAATAGCTGCTTTTAGCTGTGTAAATTCAAACATCACTCCTGGCTTAGAACTGAGATGATTATACTTCTCAGATCATTTCTTCCTACTGTTGTTGTTCAGGGCAAAGGTCCTCTTTTATGGTTATTTGTACCATTTATTCCTTCATCCTCAATGCTATTCCCTCCTCTGACAGAAATCTCTTCCTGTATACTGCATGGAGCTTCTTCCAACATAATCTTCCATATTTATTTAAATAAATAGTTTTGAATACACATTAGAACTCTAATCCCAGTCTCTCTGAACTCCACTCCAACTCTGCCACTTACAAGCTATGTGGCCATGATTAAGTTACTTACTCTGTCTTAATTTTCTCAAACAAATATATGTATATATAGTAATAATTTCACAGAATTTTCATAAAAAGCTAATATTTATTTAAATGACTTAATATTATTAAGTGCTTGGGCCATAGTAAAGGTTATATGGCTATTAAGTGTCAAATAAAATGTACATTGTTTAAAAAAATGGCAGAAACAAGATGTACCTTTCCTGTGTGCCAGCAGTGACTGTGGGCCAAGAGGAGAAACAGGAAGTGCCCTTGCTGTGAGCCAGCTGGCACACGAGTTGGGAGGCAAGAAAAGCCAACCCTGCCCACACCCTGGTAAGCCATGGGCTAACTCACAGGAACATTTGATAGCAAACGAGGTACAAAAACAACATGATGCTTATATTGTTGGATTGCCTTTCAGGTCTAAAATCAGTAGTCTGAGCATCTATTTAGGGAATAATAATATGCAGTATAACAACTCAGGGAGATTTTCTTTTGTCTTGTTTTTGAAACCCCATAATGTGCTGACTGCTTTGTTTTGCTCTGTTTTACGGTTTTGTTTTATTCAATGCTTTGTTTTGATTGGTTCTATTCTGTTCCTTTTTATTATTATTTTATTATGTCTGATGGTATAGGCAGCAATTTTGAAGATAACAAGAAACATTATGATAGCAACGGTTGATTTCCTATTATCCTGTATCACTTTCACTCTTTTGTTTTGATCGGCTTCACTCTGGTTTACTTGTTTGGTTTTATTCTCTTTGAAGTAAAAAAAAATACAATTTAAAAAAGAAAACACAAAAAATGGCAGTCAGTTTCTTCTTTATTCCTCTTAATGGTCCTTTTTTGAAGTCAACTCATATTATGATATAGAAATCTAACTGCATGACACATTTTGCCAGTCAGATGCACCCTTAATGTTTGTGGAACCTGAGGGAACAGATCAAAGGAGACTGAGATATCATAGTCTAAATACTTTTAAAAGTCTTATATAAAGATAATGCTCTATAAAAGTAGATATTATATCCTTTTCCTTAATAAATATTTCTTCATAAAGACAAAATCAAAACATATCTGTAAAATTCTGATTTATATATATGTGGCATAACACAGAACAGGAATAAATTTAATTATGTTTGCTCATGTGCCATTATTTTGTTGACTGATCATACCTGGGTCAGTTAAAGATATAGGTAATTTAAAAATTAGATCATTATCCCAAATTTTAATTTTCTTTCCCTTTATTTCACCAAAATCACATGCTAAGGCATCCCAAACTGCCAATTTAACCTTAACCAATACCTAGAAACTATAGCATATATGAGATACATAAATACCAGACTTATTGCTATACTTTTCTGCTTATTTTATATTACTTATTTTATTATTTTTTATTATTTAAAGAAATAAAAAACAAAACAGAAAAAGGGTAGAAATAATACATAATTTCAAAGATAAGATAAACAGTAAGATGACTGATGATTGAGCTTGCCTCCCTGGTAAACGGTGGCAGTGTGGGTGGCAGACTGCGCCCTTCCAGGGGGAGAACC